CCCCCCCCCCCCAAAAAAAAGAAAGAAAGAAAATAAATAAAATAAAATAATAAAGGAGAAAATTCTAACAAAAATGCCAGTCGGAATAAAGTTTACCTGTAAAGTCGGACGTGCCAATCCGTGAACGCCCGACTAACGTCTGCCATATTCTTAAATATTAAATTCTAAAAATTCTTATTCACGCATTGCAGGTCGTGCCTGATCTGGAAGTATTCCAAAAGCAAAATCGTGGCGAGTCGTCGACAATAATTGAATTGCCAATACCCCGCTGTATCCATGCACACTACAGTCCAGCGAGCGGCACCGAGGACAGCCCAGTGCCACCCGAGTCCTTCCTCGTCCTCGAGAATCTTGGGCCCAAAGGTTTCAAGGGTGCCGAGTTCTCGCGGGGTCTCACCCTCAAGCAGGCCGAGGCGGCACTTAACGCCGTCGCTAAAATTCACGCGCTCTCGCTCACTCTCAAAGTCAAGGAGGGCAAACCCCTGTCAGAGAGATATCCCTTTCTCTTTCAGACAGCGAGAGCCACCGACTCATATCAGCAGCTAGGTAACACCGACCACTAATGTTGTCTCACGCGCGACGCCCAATAACAATCGTAGCCGAGCAATTTTTAATAAAAAATACCAGCATTATCTAACGAAGCATTTCAAAACGTGTTATTAACGCAAAAGCGCACCCATTCTTTTCTTTTTGTGTTTTTTGTATTGTTTTGTTTTGTTTTCTGTTTTGTTTTCTGTTTTGTTTTCTGTTTTGTTTTACAATTGATCGAAGATGCATGCGCTCAACATTCGGATTAGAGTCGATTAATTAGTCTTTGATAAATCAATTTGAAAATGAACACGGGGTAAAGTCTGTGAAGCCCGTCATGCAAAGTTGGTCGTTGGCTTAAATCGTTCTCGATCCACTACCTATGTATATCAGACTCTTCACGCTTCTCTTCCGTTGAACAGTCGAGCGGGGCCTTCCTCAGCTGGCTCACTTCCTGGAAGGACGTCCGGGACTCGAGGCCGTGCTCGAGGCACTCCTGGCTCTACGGCCACGTACCAAGGAAGTAATAGCGAATCTCCTGGCACCGGAGGATCCGCTCGCCCTCATCACGCACACGGACTTCTGGTGCAATAACCTGTTGTTTCGCAAGGGCGATAGCGATGAGTGCGAGTGCGCCGTCCTCGACTGGCAAATGGTCACGTACAGTCGCCCGACAAACGATGTCGCTCTTCTCCTAGTCAGTAGCTTGCCGACCGAGCTTAGGCGCGAGCACACACCCGCGCTCCTCGATAACTATTGGGCCACCCTCACTAGCACCTGCACCGTCCTCGGGCTCGACATTGGCAACGAGCTCAACTACACTAGGTCCGACCTCGATCGGGACTACCGGCGTTCGCAGCTGCTGGCGCTGCTGCTTTGCATAGGATCCGTCGACGTCGCCTTGGGTGATCCCATGACCGAGCAACGACTCATCGACGTACTCGAGGATCTCCACAATGAGGGAGTGCTGGCCGTCAAAGACGTCGCCGAGGATCAGTCACAGGAAGTGTGAAGCCCCAGAGTGGCTTTTCATTAAAAATCGTCGTTACATCCATCCTCGGCGTGCTCTCTCACCCTCGACTCTCCAAAAATACGCCAACGTCGCAACGCTCTTTCGCTACAAGCGTGTTAATGTATGCGTAACGCCTAGATGAGCTTAAGAGAGAATTGCTTGACGATGCGCACTGTGACCGCTTTTCAAGGCTCCTTGTCTTGATAAAATTCCTCCGCAACTCGTAGATCTCCGTCATTGGATATAACATAACGTTCGACTAATCGCACGAACAGAATTGACAAAACACACTTTTTATTGCTCACTGCTGAGATGATATTACATTCGCGGCATTTATGTACAGTTTTTATATTCAATTTTATTTTTATATTCAATAATTGTACGTTATCTTTTAGCTAAAAAATAAAACAATTACCTTGCTTTTGCATTATTGGAAAATTAAAAATATTAATGTGCCATTAAAATATTAATTTTAATTGTGATATCTAATATTAATAATTAATATGCTTCGTGATTTGTGGCGTTTCAAAGTCTTCGATTGAAATTGAAAAATTTTTATACCATCTTGTATAGCCAGTAGCTTATCAACAAGGCTTCCTTTATATTTTAACTTGTAGCATTATTGATGATAATGATGAAGCCGCCAATCAATTGGTACTTACAATAATAATCGATTATAAGTTTGTACGGCTTCGTTCTCACTCAGTCTCAATCGCGTAAATGAATTATGAAATTTAGTGGCCACTATTAGGATATTCACCAACTAAACTATACTCGTTAATGGTGCGTCGGAATTCCCATCACATAATATTCCCATTCACAATTTACTAGCATAATAATAATAACAATAACAATAACAATAACAATAATAATAACAACAACAACAACAACAAAAACAACAACAACAACAACAACAACAACAACAACAACAACAACAATAATAATAATAATAATAATAATAATAATAATAATAATAATAACAACATTTTTAATCATCATCGCCTGTAAAGATTATGATGTGAAATTAAATTATCCGTAAATTAGTGAAAATAACAAGGATATTCGTCAAGCAGTACTTACATATATACAATAATCGCACAAAATTACATACATTTAAAAGCAACGTATATGCTATGTTTTATTGAAGTATTTAGAATGTGCGCATTGGGAACACAACTAATAGTAAAACAACTAACAATAAAACAACTAGAAGTTGGACAAGGCATATTATTTACAAAATTTAAATCTCATCTGCATAATTGTTGACTAAATTCTCCGTCTCTCGAGCAAAAGAGAGAAAGAAGGAGAGATTCGTATCATAAAAGTGTAGAAAAATTATTCACCCGAACTTAGGCGATTAACATTAACATTAGTCAGCGTAGACTCATATCGACCTTCCATAAATTATAACAATAAATAAACTAATGTATTAAGTAAATATGTTAAAAAAAAAAAGAAGAAAAAAAAGAGTATAGTAACTTTTTATTCATAAAAAATGATATTCTATGAAAATTACTTTTCATTATGTGTCAATGAAAAATTTCATATCCATCAATTCTTCTAAATCAATTATTCTTTATTTATATTATTTTTATGTTATAATATACCGCATTGTAATGTTTAAAAACACCTCGAAACAATTAAATATTACTTATCGGTATTTACTCGTGCATAAGCAATCAATCAAGCGCTTATGCACATAAATAACAAATTTTTTTAAATTAATAATATTTCAATTGTCAAAGCATTAAACAAGAAAATGTTGAAATAGAAAGTATCGATTGTGACGTTCAAAAAAAAAAAAAAAAAAAAAAAAAAAACTCATTTGCTGGAAAGAAACGCATTGTGCTTATACCATCGCACCATAAATTTTATGAAATCCTTTTAACTTCTTATCATTGTTTACCATTTCGTTTGATAAATTCATTGCTTTTTATGCGATATATCACTTTAATATTTATACAAGCAAATAGATTTGCGTGCGCGCCTGTAATCATGTAAAATCACGTATGTACTGGCACACCGTTTACAAAATTCAATTACCCAATAAATTAGAATTAGAAATTGTTGCATCGATAACATCATTTATTATTATGGGATATTTGCATTATTCAAGCATGTTATGAAATAACAAATGACACATCTTTATTCAATATTTTCAAAAACTCCATCAAACTATCTCCTTGTAAAAAGGAATAATCTTAACTAAAACAACATCCACCGTTTAACATAATAACTAAATTACAATCGCAATTAACATGAAATATTTCTAATTACACTGTTGAAAAAACTAATGACCTTATCGATCGACGACAATATTTACGTCACGATGACACATTTAATTACAACATTAATACAAAAATGCTTTCAATCAAATCTATCTGATTCATTATTTCATACATTGAAAAATTGGGAAACGAATTTGATCTAATATATTAAATTAATTTTTTAAATAGCATATATTCACTATTCAGTATATAAAATAAACCTAAAATTAAAATTAGGGAAATATAGCTATTGCGTTAATATTAATAAATACGATGAAATACTGTTTCAATTAGAAGAATCTTTGTATTATAAATAATTGTAATAAATAATATTTCGACAGTGTAGATAGAATCATTTACAAAATAAACGGAGGTAACTCATAACTGTGGAGAGCATACAATAAAATTAGTTGCAAAATAAAAAGGCTTAACATGCTTGCTTATCAAAATCCTAAATAAGTAAAAAGATATCAGATAATTGCATCTACTTTAATTTTTTTAAATTATTAATCAAGAAAAATGATAAACTTTACTATATACTTATTGAATTGAATAATAGATGCTATTTAAGTGATACCTAATGCATATATATTGGAAAATGAACAGTTTTTAGCAAACTCGCTGAAAGTCATGATTGATCTAGCACTTGACAAATTAAAAGCATTGAAAATTTTATTAACCAAAGGCAAAAAATTATTTATCGTTTTAAAAGAAAAAGCAGCAGCATACGCTAAAAACGTTATATTATAATAATTCGTGTATATAAGACAGATGTATAATAAATCACTTTTTAATTAGGCTATACGGATTTAATTTCACTGATAACTGAAAACAAATCAATGTGCACGATTTTAAACTTCTTTAAATACGAACAACATTAGCATTAAAATAATACATCAAGAAGTTCATTATTAAATAGTGAGGATTACATACATCGATATAAATGTACAAAAGTATTGCTTTTAATGATGGATTTGAAGGAATAAAGAGATTTTGAAATAAAATCATCTATCTTCATCTAAAAATCAATAGTTCTATACAAGGGTATATTTTCTCTCTAAAAAAAATTAAGAATATTTCATTCGATTATAAAAAAGAAAATATTACATTCCAGTATTCTGACTGGATAAAAGGTAAGAAAATATACGCGATATCATAATTTATAAGGAAAATAATATACAATTGAATTTCTACTATACGTCAAATTAGCAACTACAAAATTATTTATTTAAATGCATTGTTCGTTTAAGGTAATTTTTCTATATACTAAATAATTCTAAGGTAATTTTTTTATCAAGACTAGATCTCTATTGGCATATGAAATATACATTTGATTATACATAAATATATAAACACGTATGTATAACTCTTAAATTTTCGACAAAAACAATCAATTGAGCATTCAATATTTTTAATTGTGAATTTAATAAAAGTAAAAAAAACACCAGCAATTTTTGTAATATATAACAAGTATTAAATTTACAGTTACGACAGTGGAATTTATTCGTAAGAGAATATACTTTGCTTACCGAGGCAATAACTCCACCAGCGACAAATGCGTTTCTCTTATGCTTATTGGCTTTTCGATATCTCGTGTACAATT